GCGACGGGGAGGCGCGGCGCGCAGGGGCCGGCGGGGGGGTCGGGTTACATAAGGCAGCGCCCCGCGCGAGGATGCTGCTGCCGGGGGAGGCTCCGGGGCAGAACAGTCCTCACGTGGGTCGCTCCTGAGGCCTCGCGCGGGGGGTGCCTCGCTTGAGCCCCGGGCAGGGAACATTGTTACCTTCAGCATCCGCGGAGAAGGTGTGTGAAGGCTGGACGGCCTCCTACGAGCCGGGAAGCAGTTTACTTCTCTGAGCTGGTCAGGAACAGTTTACCTGATACGATTTTTTTTTTTTTTCACTTTGGAGATTTTTTTATATCCAGATTGAACACACATAACGGAAAGAAACGTTAAGGGTGCTGGTGTGTGCATCCGGAAAGCGCACTCCCCGAACCGAAGGTACTTTGCAGGCTGTGTGGTACCTGAGGCAGTGGGCATGTGCTGTTTGCAGTGTCCCTGCGAGAATGTTCTTCAGCCCTGCAGACGGAGGTGCTAGCCTCCGTCACCGAAGGTTTCTTTCAACCCTGAAGTGGTGATTCTCTATTAAAATCGTGTTGGAAAGCATTTCACGGTAGGTGGCAACTGCTGAAGGTCATCAAGATGTCATCTATCCTTTATTCTTAAAAAAAAAATGAGTCTATACAGAGAATTTCTGCCTCCCAGGAACTTCACATATTAGTCTAATTTTAAAAGGGCAAAAATGACTCACTCTCAAAAGGACATTAATTTTCCATTCCAGACATAGGGGATTAAGTATTAATCAGATCGAGGTGGCAGAGTTTGGAAAGCAGGTGGCGACTTAGCCAGGTCCCGGCTACTCCTCTATGTGGCTTCCTCTACCATCCAGTCATTACCCCACAGCTCGGTGGACTTTGGCCCCTGGGCTTTCTTTCCTCTCCTCTAGTCCCAGAGTCCATGTGGGGGGTGCTGTCCATCCTTGACCTCCCGAGTCCAGTGACCTCCACCCCCTCTGGCTGCTGAGTGCTCTACATCCGAGTGTTGCCCTCGCCCAGAGATGCTCAACTTTGAAATAAGAAACTTTGGCATCTCAGTGTCTCCAAACCATCCTTCCAGGTTGTTACCTGGCACAGGAGATCTCTTCCCTCCCTCCTTCCCGTTTGGCAGGTGACTTCATGGCCCACTCTACCCAGGAAATAGGGGCCACTGGATTAAAACCTCTCCATGTCCTACCCCATTTCCCTTCTACACACTTTTCCCAATTTACCCAGTCATCCAAGAAATCTTCTTAAGCACCTCCTGTGTGCAGGCACCGATGTATGGTAAATATAGAAGGTCCCTGCTCTGTCTGAATTGTCATTCTTGTGGGAGGAAACAAAGAGCAAACCGAATTATGCTGTGATAAAATGTGTGATGACAAGACATGAATAGGGTAGAATAATATGAAAAAAAACACAAGCTGGGATGGGAAACTTGGAGAAGGCCTCCCTGTGGCAGTGCCTAATATCTCCCTATGAACTCTTTTCTCTTTTAACAGTATTTTTTAAATTCCATCACCTCCCTTATCCCTGCATCCGCACCTCACCTCCAGCTACCACCGTGGGTGTCTCCCTGGGCTTCTGAAACGAGTTAACACTTCCCTGATCGCCCCTTCCTTCTATGCCCTCTGCAAGCTGGCCAAAGCCTCCCCAAAGGAGGAGAACCCACAATTCCTGAACGGGTCACCCGGTGGATGCTCTCCAGACCTCAGCGTGGAATTAGGTGTGACCTTTCCTTCCCGGCGCTTCCTCCTTCCCCACTTGCCATCTCCTGCTTTTCCTTCTGCCTCCTTGGCACCTCCACTACCCCCTGGGGTGACCCAGGGCTCTGTCCTTACTCCTCTATGTAGTTTTGGGCGACCATGTGCCCACTGCTTCAACTATCACCAAGTACAAAGTAAGTCCCAGATTGGTGTCTCCAGCTAGTTACCCACAGGCTGGTGGACTTATCCATGCCTTTTCGGCAAAACATCTACAGTAAGTCCAAAACTGGCTTTAGTTCCACCATCTATCCTTAGCCAAAATGTGTCCTTCTTTCTCTTTTTTTAATTTTTAAAATTTTTTTATTTTTTATGGTGGCTCTACCATTCACCAGGGTGCTGAAGCAGGAACCTCACAGTGACGCTGGGCTCTTCCAGCACTCCCCACACCCAGACAGCTGCGAAGTCGCACTGCTTCTCCAGGCTGTGAAGTCCTGGAAACCTCCGCTGGGTCACGCTGGCCCTGCCCTGCTTCAGAGCCCAGAACTGGCAAAACGGTGGCCAGTGTGCCATCTCCAGCTGGCCTGGACAAGTATACAAACATTGAGTTTTATTTAGAAATGTTAAGATGTCACTTGGATTTATAGCTTCTCTTAAAAGTCAGAAGGCCTGGAACATGAGGCTGACATTCCCATGTGCCAGCACTTGGCTGGCATGGAGTTTCCAGTGCCCGGCTGTGCTAGAGGTTGCTTGCTTTCAGGTTCCCCCTGGACCTGTGGCCCTCACTTGCAATATCTTCCTGGCTCCCA